TAATTGCTGTTTCAAATTTCCTTCCTTTACATACAAAACAATTGTACTTCTTTCTTTTTTTTTTTTTTATAAAGAAAGCACTGGAGGAAGATCTGAAAGTCATCTCTTTTGTTAAGATTTTATTTATTTATTTTTAGGGAGAGGGGAAGGGAGGGAGAAAGAGAGAGAGAGAGAGAGAAACATCAATGTGCGGTTGCTGGAGGCTGTGGCCTGCAACCCAGGCATGTGCCCTGACTGGGAATCAAACCTGCAATGCTTTGGTTAACAATTGTACTTCTAATGTCCTGAATTTTATCATATCTGCAAATGTCTGACGCTAAATAGGAAGGTGTCTGAGTGAACTTTGATTTTTGTTTTCATTTCTGTCCTTCCATTTTATTAGGGAGTCTTAATGGCTAGTCATTTTATCAATATGATAAGGTCTCTAAATTTCTTTTCAAAATTTAGAAGTTTCTCTAATTAATCTCAATAGTGACTTAAGCCAATAAGCCTTTTATGGCTTAACCAAAGCACAAGATCTAGAAAATTTACTCCTACAGTTAGCCAAGAAAGATCACGTTTTACCTCCTTTGAACAGAACAGAGTTTTAGATTCTCTAAGCTTACATCCACAGCTTATTCGGCTGTCTGCCAGGTATGCACATCTTCTAGCTGGAGGAAAAAGTAGACAGAAGAAATCAATGACCATCTCTGCAAAGAAAAGAATCAATAGAAACAAGAGTATTCAAACCAAGTTTTTATCAAAGCTGCTATATCCAAGGAACTAGTTCCACAAATATTTTCTCCTGCTAATCTAAATTTTTTTTTAGGATTTTATTTATTTATTTTTAGAGAGAGGGGAAGGGAGGGAGAACGAGAGGGAGATAAACATCAATGTGTGGCTGCCTCTCTAGTGCCCCTTACTGGGGACCTGGCCCACAACCCAGGCAAGTGCCCTGACTGGGAATCAAACCAGCGACCCTTTGGTTCACAGGCCAATGCTCAGTCACTGAGCCACGCTATCCAGGGCTTTGTAAATTTAGAAAGAGAAAAAAATATCATTTTCTTTTTCACAGCACCCACAGCTAGAGGTTTTAGGAGGCTGACAAGGTAAGAAAAGCTTACCTGTTTGCTGGTTCTGTTGTCAGACACCCAGGACCTCTTAGCTGCAACTGTCTCAGAACAAACATTCAAAAGGGATGTTCTCTTAGCCGGCATGCCAAAACCACCAGGGAGGCAGAGAATTCCTCCCCACCCCAACCCTTCTTCAGTTCTTATGGCTGGAGTAGCAATAAAATAATAAAATCAACACAAGACTAGATAAACAGGAGAAAAACCAATTGAATACCTGCGCACCAAAGAATCACAATACAATGCTCAGATTATAAAATGAGGTCCAGAGACATGGTAGAACCAGGCACATCTTGATACTTTTTAGACAAAAGAACAATACATTTGTGATAAATTGACAGGACAAAGAACGTTAGTGCTTATTGGAAAGCAATCTAAGCAAGGCTTGGGTATTTATTAATGAGACATTTAAACAAAGTAGTAGATTTAAAAAGAGGAAGTAAGAGTTGATTATAGAGACTTTTTGGCTCTGAGTCCTTTAACTCTAGCAATAGGGGAGTCTTCCAGGTTGGGGTAGGACACTTTTCCCAGGGGACATTTATTTCCTGCATTCAAGGAGAGAAGGGAGGGCCAGGGCGCCCTTCTGGTACTGGCTGCTGGTCAGGTAACTTTAACTCAAAATGATCAATATGCTACTGTGGAATATACTGAGCCATCCAGTATTGGGCCCCAACGTAACCCTCTATTCCTATTTTATTAATGTGTTTATTTTCAGGAATGGAGTTGAATTTTTCAGCATGTTTTTTTTTTTGTGGACCTATTAAAATGATCAGTTATCATCACTACATTTCCTACTTCTGAACGAACTTTATATTTCTGAAGAAAACTCTACTTGATTACTGGGTGTCATTATTTTGCCAGATTTGACTTGCTAACAGTTTAAGATGTCTGTACCTATATTAATAAGCGAGACTGATATATAGTTTTATTTTTTAAAAGATTTTATTTATTTATTTTTAGGGAGGGAGCGAGAGAGAGAGAGAGAGAAACATCAATGTGCGGTTGCTGGGGGTTATGGCCTGCAACCCAGGAATGTACCCTGGCTGGGAATCAAACCTGGGACACTTTGGTTCCCAGCCCGCACTCAATCCACTGAGCTATGCCAGCCAGGGCCTTATTTTTTAACATCAGTGTGTGGTTGCCTCTCTTGTAGCCTCCACTGGGGACTTGGCCCCCAACGCAGGCATGTTCCCTGACTGGGAATCGAACCAGCAGCCCTTTGTTTGGCAGGCCCACACTCAATCCACTGAACCACACCAGTCAGGGTTACAGTTTTATTTTTTAGTACTGTGTATGCCAGGTTTGATGCCATGTTTACACTGGTCTCTAGAATTAATAACTTTTCCTTTTTCCTCTTTGTAAAAATGTGTCTAGTGTAGAAATTATGTGATCCTTGAGGACTTGATGAAAAGCCTGTGAAACCATCCAGCCCATTGGGAGTGGGAAGGGAAGATATATCTTTGGCAGCTTTTTTTTAAAGTAACACATGTATACGGTAACAATTGCAAACTGCATGAAGGGTCATACACTGAATAGTTCTCCCTTAAAAGTCAATAAATAGTCCCTCAGCTTCTTCCCCCAGAGGGAAGCACTGTTATAATTTCTTGCTGTTGCCATTAGGAAACTGTCTGAAATATTCAAGCATATAAATATAACAGGGTGAGCAAAAGCAGGCTCACAGTTGTTCATATGAAAAAATATATAAGAATAGTCTCTTGTGTTTCACATACTCACTGTAAACCTTTTTTCCCACCCTTGTCTATTCCCTTCCCCTAGATGGTAGCATACCATACAAACTGTTCTTGCTTTTTGTGTATTTAAATCCTTTCTTTTCAAAAATTGTGTCATGATTAAATTCCCTACCTCATTTTTTAGTTACTTTTTATCAGTTTTTCTAGGAAACTGCCTGTTTTCTCAGTATTTTATTTTTCACAGGGTTGTATGTTACACTGTCCTGTAATTTAGAACTAGTAAAGTGCTTTATACACATTGGCCTAAATGTTAATCCCACTTGCACCACTTACAAAGTTTCTAAGTAGTTCTGGGTAAATCATGAGAGTAATGCTGTACCATGAACAGCCATAGCCTGACAGAGGGTAATGACTGCAAGTGTATTGAAGAATACTGAATTAGTCTGGCAATTCTGTGACATCTATTTGCAATGAAAAATATAAAACCATTCCTATTTTAGGAGCTGGTCCCTATGCCTCTCCCTTCCTTCACAACTTTCCAGGATAGGAGAGTTTCTTTCTTCATAGCATATTACCTCACACTCAACCTATACCCTATTAGCTAAGAAACCGGCATTTTTAGTCTGAAACAATGCCTAGGTAACCTGAGCACTGCCTGCCTCCACTATTGTTTTATGGCCTGTCCTGCTCTTCAACCAGCATCAAAGCCATCTAGAAGAGTGGCAAAGAGGCGAAGAGATGAGGTTATGTGACAGAAGTTGGGGTTTGAGGTTAGGGAGAGAACTAATTTTAGGGGTTATCAATGGCCTTAGGGAAGTGGGAAGGGATTTGGTAATCCGATAATAAGTGCTGGAAATGGAGGGCAGTGTCATTCAGGGCTGGGGGGCGGGTGTTGTGGTAGGGGTAGAGTGGCTATGGGAGGCTGAGGCTGGGACATTACACATAATACTCGATTGTAATTTTAAAAGGCTGCAGCCCTGGCTGGCGTAGCTCAGTGGATTGACTGCGAGCTGCGAACCAAAGTGTCACAGGTTCGATTCCCAGTCAGGGCACATGCCTGGGTGGCTGGCCAGGTCCCCAGTAGGGGTTGTGTGCGAGAGGCAACCACACATGGATGTTTCTCTCTGTCTCCCGCCCTTCCCTCTCTAAAAATAAATAAATAAAATCTTTTAAAAAAAAGGTTTCATACCTACTGGTCTAAATTTTAATATCACTCTCGTCAGTATTTGCACAAGTATTGAACCTATTGTTGGTTTGAAGAATTTTAAGAATATTTAAACAAAACCACAGACACACAATTCCATCACTTAATTAACTCTGTCCCATCACATTCCAGAATCTATCTCCTTAAGGTTATCCTTCGATGTTTTCCTGGACTGCTAATTCAAAAATGTAAAGTACTTTATTTCACACCTTTCTCCTTTCCTGTTTTTTTTTTTCCTCCGGTTGTTTTTTTTTTTTTTTTTAAGCTGAAAACTGGTATTTACGTCCCCAAAAGGGTTGAGGTGAACTGGAGTCAGAAACACCTAGAGAACCCCGTGATCCGGTTGGGACATGCAGGATTTGAAAAAGTTACTCTTAATAATCACCCTCTTTTAGACTTTGAACATTTCTAGTCCTTGCCCCAAATCGCTTAGCACGTTTGGAAGTTGTAGCGGGATTAAAGTTTTGCCTGGTGTCTAGAGAGAAGCTCCCGCCGTCTCCTCAGAGAGGGTGAGGGAGAAAAAGAATCCTGGAGGTCGGTGTGCAGACAATACACAAGTCTGCGACATTCGAGAACGTGGGAAGAGGGCAAGGAGCGAGGTGAGGAGCGCGGGGAACCAGCCGGGCTGGGGCTACAGCGGCGGCGGGAGCGGCAGGTCAGGGAGAGCTGGCGCCCGGCAAGGTGAGCTTTTCCGGCGGCCCGGGGCGGGGCAGCCGGGTGCAGCGAGCCGCCGAGCTGGGGACGGCGCGCCCCCAGCCGACCCGTGAGAGCCGGGACCGGCGCGTGGGGGCGGGGGACAGCTGGCAGCCCGGGTCCGGAGACCTCAGAGCCGTCTGAGAATCGGAGCTACGTGTGAAAGGGGGAGTGTGTCTGGCGCGAGAAGAAGCGAAGCGAAGAGACACGAACCTCTCCTCAAGACCCGGCGGACAAAGGACAGCGACGAGCCCGGAGCGCCAGCCGGGGATAGGCGCCTTTCGGTGACGTAGTCCTCCCGCGTGACGCCGCGACGAGCTGGGACCTCCACGTCGTCGATTCCGCAAAGGCCTGTGGGAGCGACCCAGGAGCCGGCGGGCCAAGATGGCGGAGGCGGCGGAGTCTCCTGGAGACCCGGGCACAGCGTCGCCCAGGCCCCTGGTGAGCGGGGGATCTGCGACGAGAGGGACCGAGGGTGAGGCAGAGTGTCCCTTAAGGAAGTCGGGTGCTGGGCCGGTGGCCTGAGAGAGCCGGAACCCCTTCCTCCCGCAGGCCCTTCCTGTAGCCGGTCCCAGATCCAGTCCCAGCCACTGCACCTGTTCTTGGGGCTAACCGCTTCGCCCCTCGCCTCCCTCGTACCTTCCACGCCTTCTTGTGAAACTCCCATTCACTTTTCCGTACTCTCAAAGCTTGTCCTCTTCCCTTACATTGTGTTAAATGCCGAGCTTTAAGCAATCTGTTAAGTATGTTTGTTTCTGCCGTCCCCTAATTTTATCAAGACCCGTCACCAGCCCGTGTTGGAGTAGCAGCATTCTAGGGTTCATGAGAGATTGGCAGTGTAACTTGGTTATTGATTTCGGTGACTCAAGTAGTCTTGGTTTGATCCCTGCCCTCCTGTCGCAGCTCCTTGCAGTCCTGCTCATGATGCGCTCTCACTCCTGTTTGCACAGCGGATAGGTAGTATTTCTATTGAAAGTACAAGCCTAAAGCCTGGACAAGTATTTCACAACACAGGTTTTGGAGTTAAATTTACCTGGACCGGAATCACCCACTCTGCTGCTTGTGTGAATTTGGGCAAGTCATTTCATGGAGAGTATTTCTTCACCTGTAAAGTGGAAATTAAAAAATACATGCCTCAAAGAGTTTTTAGGAGGGTGAGATGGCATAATTTATGTAAAGTATCTAACACAGTCAGTGCCATGAACTGAGGAGTGTAATTAACATTCTGCCCCCAAGTCCCTTATCCTAAGCAGGGTTCAGTTATCTCCCACTGTTTAGTTATGTAGCAGTTGATCAATGAATGGTACATCCCATTCCTGTGTTTTAAATTGGCACCATAGTAGAGGACTGGACTGGGAGTTAGGTGACATTGATTCTAGTCCTCGATCTATTTACTAGCTCTGTTTGTTCATCTCTTCGTTCAACAAGTATTTATTGAGCATCTAATATGTCCCAGGCAATCTTAAGCACTGGGGATACAGCAATGGAAAAGCGTGAGTAGGTCCAAGTTGTGATGGAGTATCTGTGACCCTAAGGAAATCACATGGAACTCATTTCCTCATTTGGAAAATGGGGATAGTAACCCATCACAGAATTAGTGAGAGTACTAAATGAGCTAATTATACACATAATTCCTGGAGTGACATAGTTACAGGTGCCAAGCTACTTTTAGTTCTTGTCTTTCATTTAAACTACTCTGCTGCTCTTTTAATGAAGTTTTCCTCAATTAGTTTTAGTGGTCTGGTCACTCATTACTCAGTATCCATTCTGCTTCTATTCAACGATGTTTATTGAATTTCTAAAATGTGTAATGTGCTGTGCTAGTTGCTTTAGGGACTACAAATATCCTGCTCTAAATGGTGTTTACAGTCTAATTTGTAAGGATAAGGCAAATGTACATATTAATATAAGGCAGGAAATATTAAGAAAATGTAAAAGAAGATGCTATAATGTCTAGTTGGGGTGATGAAGCAAGCTACAGAAGTTGTATTAAAGAGGTTCTCAAAGGATGGGTAAGATTTGAAATTCCAGGTGAGTGTAATAGTTATCGATGATTGAGTGCCTCCTACATGCCAGGATTGTGCTAAACATCCTCTGCATATTTTCTAAACTTCACAGCAATCATTTCAGTAAGATAGTTTTTAAACTGTGTTTTACTTGCAGATGAGGAGATGACTTTGAAATGTTTGACAATTTCCCACTGGTCTCACCAGCAGTTAGTGGTCAGGCCTGAAATTTGAACCTAGGTCTGCTTCTGAAGCCCAGATGATTTCTAGTAGCATTACACAGACTCTTATCAGCGAAGGTACAGAGGTTGGAAGGTACTGATGCATTTCTACAAAGAACAGAGAGATCACTTTGGCAGGAGCACAAAGAAGTATTAGGAGGTGAGCCCTAAAAGACAGGCTACTGAATTAGAGAGGCAGTATTGGAACAGTGGTTAGGTAGGAATATGAGATGTGGGGCCAAATTGCCTAGGTTTGATTCTAAGCTCTATTCTTCAGCTAGCTGTGGAATATTGGGGAAATTACCAAACCCCTCCATGCCTCAGTTTTCCCATCTGTAAAATGGAGATATAGTAACACTTAGGTAATAGGGGCTTTTGGTGAATTAAATGAGATAACCCATATAAAACTTGGTGGCGTGCCTGGCACATAATAATCATTCAATAAATGTGCTGTCTTACTGACTACTAAGCTGGGAGGTTTAATAGGCAGTGAGGCACCAGTGGAAGTTTTTGAGGAGGAAAGTTTAAAATCATTAATTTGACAATATAATGGAGGAAGGTTATCATGGGGAGTGTCTGGAATCTAGGAGACCAGCAGAACTGTTGCAGTAGTTCTAGGAAGAAGTGATGACTGCTTGGACTAGCGTACTGGCGGGAGACATGAGGATTCAAGAAAGGCAGAATCCTTGAGGATTTTCAGTGCTTGGGAGAAAGAGTCTTAGATCAGTTTTGCAAACTTTCGTGTGCATACCAGTCATCTGGGGGGATGATGTTAAATCGCAGATTCTGATTCAGTAGGTCCAGAATGAGGCCCGAGATTCTGCATTTCTAACAGGCTCCCAGGTGATGCTGCTGCTCTTGATCTATTTTTGAAAAGCAAGTCAGCATTTATATGGGAAGATATAGTGGTGCCCTGGACAGAAATACTAATCAGAGGACAAGGGCCCTAAAAATTGATTCCCTTTTGTACGTGTTTACTTTGAGCTATTGGCAGGCCATCCAGTAGATAGCCAGTAGTCAGTTGGACTCTAAAACCTGGACTTTAGGACTTGGAAGAGGTCTGAGCTGGAGATATTAATTTATGAGTCATCTGCATAGAGTGGGAAAGGCGGAGTCTTGGGTAATGCCTATCTTTTGCCTATATATTTAGAGAGCAGGAAACAGTTGTAATAATGGCTTTAGCCTAGAGTCTGTAAGAAGGCTGGTCCCAGGTGAAGGGGGTGACTAGAGACCATGCCACGGGCCACCCCCTCCCCACTTCTTGGAACCAGGCCCCTTGGACTGAGGTTTCTGCTTGATGCTTTCCTTACCCCGCCCTTGTTGATTCATTTCTTTCTCCAGGATTTTAGTCATTAGTATAACCCATCTGCTCCCAGCCACTTAAAGCTGCAGTCCCTGCTTTTACCATGTGTTTTTGACCCTGCCTCTACCTGCTCCCCTTGTTGGCCCAAGCCAGGCCACAAAGTGAGCACGTGTATTTCTGTGCACACATGTACATATATGTGCACATGCCTGCCTGCACAGGGGCAAGGGCAGGGACATGGAGTCCAAGCGAGCTTTCATCCCCACTGAGGGACGGTTGAAGAGTAGGGTGCGCTAGCTGAGGGCCTGTGTGCCCTGTCTGCCTTACCTGGGGCTGAGGGCCACAGATCCTGGCTCAGCTCAATGAACAATGTCACTAATTCTCTTGAGAAGAGATACTGAGGAAGGATTGGGTTGAGGAATAAGATGGGAATCACATGACACTTGAGTGACTGCAGTGACTTCTGAAACCAGTTAGCTGGAGTTAGGTCAAACTTCACAGCTTGAGTCTCCACAAGACTGTCCTCACTTTAGACACCAGCCACAGACTCAGAGGTTCCCAGAACCATCCTCACTTCTGACGTATTGGCTACAAATTTAGGGAGTCCCATGATCCCCTCAGGCTCCGTAATTCACTAGAATGACTCACAGAGCTGAGGACAGTACTATATTTAAAATTACAGTTTTTATTTTATTTTATTATTTTTATTATACCAAAAGGATACAGTTCAAACCAGCAAAAGAGGGAGAAGCGAAGGGTGAGGTGTGGGAGGGTCCTTAATACAAAGCTTCCTTGTCTTCTCCCTAGGGAATCAGGGCCCTGTTATCCTCCTGATACATCAAAGTATGACAAGATGCAGAATATTGGCAACTCTTAGGTCCCACTGTGAAAAACAAAAACACTATCATTTGGGAAAGTAAAAGGGTTTAGAGGCTAACTCGCAGAAACAAGACAAAAGCTAGGCAAATTTTTTATTACACAGCAGTGACAGAACTAGAATTGACTCCCTGGGAATCTTGACCTTGAGTTAACATTTATGTAGCCCCTGCTGCGAGCCTGCTAAGTGCTTTACATGTATTAATGCATTTCTTCCTCAGAACAACCCTGTGATAATGGTACCCTTATTTCAGTTTTATAGATGAGGAAACTGAGGCCCAGAGAATCTGCTCAATGTCTGTCACACAAGTCGTAAATGATAGAACTGAAATTTTCACCCAGGCTTTCTGGCTCCCAGTGCCTGCACTCGCAAGCGATACTCTCCAAGTATACAGTACATTGAGCACTGACTATGTGCTAGGTGTTATGCACGTGTTATCTAACCCTCACAGCCCTGTTTGTCTTTAAAGCCCATTCCTTCTGTGCTGCCCTGCCTCCCCTAGCAGCAGCCGGCAGCAAAGCAACTCAAAACCAAGCAATCTGGGAGCTTGAAAAGGCAGTGTCATAGGAGTGAAGAGAGAGTACGGGTTCAGAACAGGGGGGTTACCATTAAGTGCTGCAGAATATTCGAAGAGTGTGAAACTGAGAAAGGATCCTTTATTTCTTGAAGATGAGGTCACTATTAGCAGTGTCAGTAAAGTTGTGGGAAAGCCAGTGGCAGATTACAAAGGACTAAGTGAGGGGAAGAGTGAAGAGCAGTTTGGGAAGAGGGGCGGAAGGAGGGTACTTGGAAGGAAAGGCAGGAACAAGGAAGTGATATATTTTTAAATTTTATTACTGAAGCCTTAAAGTACATAAAATGAAGTATAATGAAGCCATTGTACCCATCAACATTCAGCTATTTTTATTTCATCTGTCTTCCACCACATTTTTTTTTCTGGAGTACTTTTTTAACCTTCCTATTTTGAACTAATTTTAGACATGCAGAAAAGCTGCAAAAGTGGTAGAGAGTTGATGTATGCCCCTTTCCCCACT